CTTCTTTGCTCCTATGACACCTGGCTTCTCCTACAGCAAATACATCCACATAAAACCCACGTTGATCCACATGTCTGAACAACTGGGTGAGTAAAGAGGCCCTGGCCTCTGGCCCCTGGCTGGGAGGTGATGGGAAGAGCAGGAAGACAGTCTCAATTGCTGATCTTGTACGGCCGCCGGGTCCCATTCTCCCTTCCCCTTTCCTGCATCCGAGTCACTCCCTTCTCCACCGTGTCCCCTCCAGACTGCAGAACGTCCTTCTGAACCAGGTCAGCCAGCAGTCACATGCTGGGCATTGCAAACGGTGCTTCAACAGGACGGAGGATGTAGTGATTCGCAGGGCACCCATTGCAAACAGTGCTGCAGCAGGACGGAGGATGTAATGATTCGCAGGGCGCCCATTGCAAACAGTGCTTCAACAGGACGGAGGATGTAATGATTTGCAGGGCGCCCATTGCAAACAGTGCTGCAGCAGGACAGAGGATGTAATGATTTGCAGGGCCCCCATTGGATGTTGCAGGGGAACTCCAATGCCAGGGGGAGATCATCAAACATGAGTGAGAGCTTCACCTACTTAGAGCCTGAATCTGAAAATAGAACGGAAAAGAACATTTAAGAATAATCTCCATTGGTTTAGTCTTCTCTGTCTTTGTCTCTCCGAGTTAGGCATCAGCTCATACACAGACAAGCATTTTCTTCCTCTAGTCCTCTCTGTGGTGTAGTGGATACACATTGGGCTGTGATCCACATGGTCGGCAGTTCGAAACCACTAGCAGCTCCATGGGAGAAAGACTGGGCTTTCTTCTCCCGTCAACAGGTACAGTCTCAGAAACCCCCACAGGGGCCGCTGTGAGTCAGCTTTGATTGGATGGCAAGGAGAGTCTTTCCATAGAGAGCTTTCGTGGTGTAGTGGGTTATGTGTTGGGCTGCTAACTGCAAGGTCAACAATTCGAAACCACCAGCCACTCCGCAGGAGAAAGACAAGGCTTTCTACACCGGTAAAGAGTCAGTCTCAGAAACTAACAAAGGCAGGCCTACTCTCTCCTCTAGGGTCACTGGGAGTTAGACTCCGAGGGCAATGCATTTGGGCTTGGTTTGGAGACACCAAAGGCTTTGTGGGGCATGATAGTATGGTGTTTGCTCACTGTTGTGTCCCCACTGTGGGCCTGGCACGTAGTGGGCACTCTGCAGATTTGTTCATAAATGTACATATCAGAGCACCATCTTTGTATTTCGTTTTCATCCTCAAATACTTGGATCACCACGTAGCATGGCATTCTACATTTCTCTCGCGCTGCAATGGGCTCAATTCCAACTCGTAGCAACCGGATAGGACAGGGTGGAACGGTCCCTGTGGGCAAGTGCTCCGCTGCTAACCAAAAGGTCGGCAGCTGGAGCCTAAGCCGCTGTTCTGTGAGAGACAGATTGGGAGTCTACACCACATCTGGTCAGGTCACAGCCTTGGGAACCCTTGGGGGCAATTGTACTCTCTGCTACACAGTGCCTATGAGTGAGAATTGGCGCAGGGGTGATAGGGCAGGTTGACAGACACAAAATGTGGCCTCCAGATTCTGAGAACTCAGAGCTTCCTTCAAGCGCCTCCTTGAATCCCAGCCTTTCACTCAACACGTATTTTCTCAACTTACCCCGGGTCCTGGCAGGACTCCAAGGAATCCGATGATCAATCCAGGTTTGGCAAGTGTTCCAGCGAGGAGAGGCCCAGTAAAATTTCTTACCCCTGCTCCTCAGACTTACATAAAGACCTCCAAAATGTGGCCAGAATGGGGCAGGGAAAGGAACTTGAATGGGGCACGGACCTACTAGCACCTTCTGACTCGGTAACTAGACGTGCAATTCTGTTTCATCCTCCAATTGGCTGTTAGGTCCTTGAGATCAAGGCCCATGTCCCCAGAATACGGAGCTAGAAGCTTGAAGTTGTCCATGGGTCAGCTATCACTTATACCCAGGCACTGGGGACAAGTAGCAGGAGATGGCAGAGATTGAGGAAGGGGAGTTAAAATCACCTGGGCAACTGCTAAAGATGGTGCCTGGCTTGGAGGACAAATTTAGAAGGCCTTCATAGTTCCCTGCAAAAAAGCTTAGGGAATGCCGCCACTAGTGCCCCAAGACGGATAAGACCGCAGGCGGCTGTTAGGCAGGTTTATGACCTGCGAAACCCGGGCTGAGGCTCTAGGGACCCAAGACCAACGTCTAGCCATGTGATTCTAAGCAAGCCCTGTTACCTCTCCAGGCTGCCATTTCTCGTACAGGGCAAACGGTTGAGGATCGAGTTGGGGGAAAGTAAGCTACCTTCACTGACCACAGCCACTTCAGAGCCTTCCTATCCAGTGAAAGGAACATATGAAAAGCCAAGCGCTGCCTTTCCCAGACTCTGAAGAGACGCTGGCGTTTCTTGCTCACTGCTCCTGCTGAGGCGGGGCTAGGCTATGACAGGAATTTTGCTGTCACGGCAATGATTGCCCTGGTCCTCTTCATGCTGAACATCGATCGCTGAGCTTCACAGGCGCGAGAGTTGACTCCGTGTGGTCCGCTAGGAAATACCCATAATTAGTTGTCACTGTCCACACTCTCCTCTTCACCCGCCAGGCACGTTCCTAACCACCACCAGCAGCAGGTTTGGGCCCCAGAGGTTTTGGGGGGCTGAAGCTTAAGCGAAGGTGTTGTTGGCTGAGTTCTTGGTACCAACCTTTGTCGTAGTCACTGGTTGGCATCAACGATACCACTTCTTCACCCCATTCTTTAGAACAGCTCGCCAGCTGACTACAACCCCTGTGTTTTCTTGACATGCAACCATTGCTGCTTAGACACCTGCTTGTTTCTCCCTTAAGGACCTGGAGGACTAACTGAAAGGTTGGGGGTTAGCGCTCACGCAGAGGCACCTCCGATAACAGATCCGCTGATGATCTGCTTCTGAAACTCAACCATTGACCGACTGCCTGATAAAGCACAGTTCTACTCTGACACACAGGGGTCGCCATGAGTCAGCCTAGGCTCCACAGCTCCCAGGGAAGGCTCCCACAAGCAAGAGCACTGGAGGAGGAAATCAATACTGCAGAATGGACTGTAGACAGGAACGAAAAGTCCTTCCTCCCTCTGAAATGTTCATCCTCCTTTTGTCCTAGGTGTTGCCCAAACTCTGCAGGCTCTTTGTTTGAAATTCCACGGTGACTGGTAATCTGTAAGGACGCTCAGCGTGGACCTCTAAGTGCTGACTGGTAAGTCAAATGGATGTGATGTTCTTCAAGCTTCTGCGACTTCCAGTTCAAATCGGTCTGAATTTCTCCCTCCTTAAGTAAAATAGCCAGGTGCTGTTGAACGAGTTCTGGCTCATGACGACCCACCCACCCCCCTGTGTGACACTGTCACACTGTGCTCTTCTATATATATGAGAAGTATATCACCAGGCCTTTCTTTCAAGACACCTCGGGATGGACACAGACCTCCAACCTTTTGATAAGCAGCTGAGAATGTTAAGAGTTTGCACTCCCAGGGACAGCTCCTAGATACCAAATCCATTGCCACTGAGTAGACTCCGATGCATAGCAACCCTATAGGCTAGAACAGAGCTGCTCCATTGGGGTTCCTAGACCGGAAGTCTCTATACAGCTTAGTGCCTCATCTGTCCCCTGAGGCGAGTTTGACGAGCGTGGCGCTTAACCCTTGCACAGCCAGCGCTTCTTGCTTGCCTGTAGCAGACGCTTTATGAGAGTTGCTAAATGAAGGAGCAGTTGAGTGATTAGGGGCAGCCCCTGAGCCTCCAGCCCATTTGCTTGAAGGCTGTCTCCAAGCAGTGGTTCTTCGGGTGGCCTTCTCCTCCCACGCGTGGTTAGGGAGAGGAATTCCGCGCAGCATGATGTGATTCGTGAGGGATCTCTTTCCCCAGTGAGGAGCTGCTGCTGCGGTTGGTGGAGAATCATCCCTGAGTCATAGCGACGACGTTATGTGGAGCAGGTCACCATGCTGCCCCGTCCTGAGTCACCTTCATGACCCTGGGTGGAGACAGAGGTAGGGTGTAGGAGACAGTAAGGAGCATGGAATTGTCCCTGTCCAAGCCACTCTTCCATGGGAGCCTGCTCTGGGGAACTGAGAAGGAAGGATGAGGGGACTTGGTGAGCTTCTGCTTAGGGTGTGTGGGGCTTCAGAGCTGGTGGGACACCCCAGGACATCCATCAGGAAAACAAGGCTCTCTAAGTATGCAGAGGCCAAGGGAGCCGGAGATAAGGATTTTCAGAGCCATAGCTTATAGGTAGCATGAACACAATGGCGGCCGATGAAGCCTCCCAGAAAGATTGTACAGAGAGACTGAGCAGAGGTTTAGAACCGTTACCAGAATGCTGGCGGCAAGTGCTCTCGGTGATTCACCCGTAAAGGGCCTCCTTGCCGCTTCTAATGAGAGTTGGATAAAACTTGTTGATTAATGTGTGTGCGTCTTGTTCTTGCCTCTTCTCTCTTTGGACCTGGTTTTGTTTCTTCTCCTGTCCTCTCTGTTGGGGCCTATGCCCCAAGCCCTTGCTGTAGACTTGGCCCTACCCAACTCAACTCTGTGGGCATGTGCTTGACCGCTGACTGCTTGCTCTGGGGTCACAGACAGCATCTTCCTTCTGGGCCATGGGCTTCATCAGCCAATGAGAGCTGATAGGACTGATCAGCGGGGGAAGTAGGGGTTGGCCTCCCCCGGGGCCAGAGCAACAGAGGACATGCTCTTCCAGAGTTGGGCGCTGAGACTGGCATCTCAGAGCTCACTAGATCATCAGTACGAGGCAGGAAGGAGGGATGGGGATAAAATACCTCTTTTGTCTATAGTCCCCTACTTAACCCATTGTTTCCTTCCTGTCTCTTCACGCCACCCTCTCCCAACCATCATCGTGGCAATGTTTTAAGCAAAAAACAGTCCCGTCAGAGCCTCTTCAACTCCACCATCCAAGGTCAGTCCTCTGGGTCCATGTTTACGTCAGGACTGATTCTTCCTCGTTTGCTCCTGCGTGCGGCACAGGGATCTCTGGGGGGTGTTAACCGTTGAAGTGCTCAGCTGCTAACCAGCATGGTGGAGGTTGGGGTCCACCCAGAGATGCCGTAGAAGGACAGCGTGGAAAGCGACTGGTGAGTCCCCAGCCGCTGAACCCCCGCTGGGGCCCGCTGCTGCTCTGACACACCCACCTTGCGTGATGCAAACGCGAATCAAAAACACCAAGAGTGAAATATCAGGGGGGCTTTCATGCCCTTCACTTAGGCTTTGTAGATCGCTCTTTTCCTCTAGGTCTTCTCCTTTCCCCTCTCTCTTCTCTCACTCTCTCTCCTTCTCCCCTCTCTGCCCTCCACCCCTACATTCTTTCCATGCCCTCGCCCGGTCTTTTTACCTTTTCCATGAGCAGAACAGCTTCCTCCTCCTTCTTTGCTTGCCCCCACCTCTGTTTTTTAATGAGCCTTTGAGATTCTAGCTCTTTCCAACACTGAACTTCCATTCATCCCTGTTAACGCTCAGGAATTCTCCAGGAGAGAGAGAGAAGCCTATTTCTTCACGGCACCCGAAATGCCAAGGCCTTTTTTTTTTTTTTTAATGAAAATTGCTGTGTACATAAAATTCTACTGGAGAAATTCCTGAGTCAACAGAAAAGCACCCCAAGCCCACGAATGGTCTCGCTGGGGTGTTCCAAATGGAGGCTGGCTGATAGTCAGCGTAGGTACCTCCCTGACTATGTTCTGTGGATTTGGGTCCACTTTACTTCTCAAAGCTCGGAGAGAAAGATCGTTGGCCTATGGCATGGGAGCGAAAGGCCTTCTGTCCCCAGTGCCCAGCAGGCTTCGCCCTGGCTTCAGGACTGGCTAAATGGAGGGTTTATGCCCACAGTGAGTGGACCAGTGCTTTTGGAGCCAGTGAAGCTCCAGATAAAGTCGATCTTTTTTTCCCCCTTCCTCCTTCCTTGAGTGTGGTAGAACAGGCCAACCTGAGCATGCTGGACTAAGCGCTCAGTCTCCCATTGGGTTTGAAGTCCAGTGCTCAGAGTTGGATCTCTCTTGAACTCAAATCCCCCACCCCCTGCCCCCCAGGGATTCCAGCAAGGGGCTTCCACTCCAGATTCTGATGGGTGAGGTCTTGAATCCACTCTGTCTTCCAGGAGCCTCACCTCAAGACGAGGGCTCTTGGAGCCTCCTTATGGGCCAAGAGAGGGAAATACACCAGGAAGTCTGGGCATAGCCTAAAGTTGGTTAGGGGCTGAAGGGAATCGATACCCGTGGTCTTCCCAACACTCAGGAAACTTTTGTGTTGAGCAAGCTAAGAGGGCATTCCAGTAACAACCTGGGCAGAGACTGGCCAGATTGAAGACGTCCTTTGGGTGGGTAGTGGGTGTGGGACTGGGGGAAGGAAGGGCTTCCTGTGGAACCTGGTTTGGGATAGGGAGCGATGAGGGAGGTAGACAAGCCAAGTTGATGACCACCGACAGAAGGGAGAAAGGAGAAGGAATGGAGGGACTCATTTCCAGGCTCCCAGTCTTTTGCTCCAAGAAGCACCCAATTGTGGGGCAGGAAGAAGAAAACAATCACGGTGCTACTCAGCATTGAACCCAAACCATCCAACATCTTACCTGAGAGGAGACTTGTCCAGCTCAGCCACCCAAGCCGCCTCAGCTCCTGCCAAGAAAATCCAGTCCTGAGCCGTGTTCACTAGTCTACGTGACAGGACCCTGGTAGGACTGAAGAAAAACAAACCCTCAATCTGGGGAGTGAAAAAAGAGACAGAGAGACATTTTCCTTCCTCCTATTCTCGTCTGTCTCCCAGCTCCTACTTAAGGCCAAATTAAATCTAGATTTTTTAAACCTACTTTTTTATGAGAAGACAAGGCAGAGCTGTATTCCTCAAGGCAGAGCTGTATTCCTCAAAGCAGTTATTTCAGGCCAAACTTCTTACTTGGTTCTCCCTACGCCCCCCCTTCCGCCCCTCCTTTTTAATTCAAAACAAAATGTCTATCATTCACTCTAACACCAGCCTTTAAGAAGCTGGAGACAAATGGAATCTGAGAATTCACGCCAACGTGGTACAAATGAGCTGTGATCTCAGACCTGCTGGCTGGTTCACTGACAGGAAAAAGGAGCCGCCGACTAGTTAATATCTTTGGCGGAAACCCTGTGTGAGAGCGGAATGGAGCAGACCAACATGGATATTGAGTTCTCTTATTTAATGACCAGAATTGATAGATTGGGGCATCTTGACATTAAAGGAAAGTGTGTTTGGCATAATCCAGAGGGTGGAGGGTGGGGTGGGGTGGAGGGAGCCTCCGCACTAACACATGCTGGGCCTCAGGGAAGAAACTCTCTTAAAACCATTTTCTCCAAGTGCTTCCATGGCTTCATCGGTTAGCCTATTCGTCTCTTGATTTAGAACCTGATTTCATCACAGAATTATCAACTGGAGAAACACCAAGACGTTTGTTAAAAGGAGACACTCTGGGAAGATGTCTGACTGCCTTCCTAGAAGTCTGGCTAATGAATTAGGATACAAGAGGCAGTTGTAAGTAGGGGCTAATGGGGAAGGCATTGGGGCCATCTGTCCATTTTCCTAAGGAGTCTTGGTCGTGCTGTGGTTAAGCCCTCAGCTTCTAACCCAAAGGTCGGTGGTTCAAACCCACCACTGCCCCCCAGCAGGAGAAAGATATGGCAGCCTGCTTCCGTGAAGCTGACAGCACTGGGGACCCACAGGGACAGTCCCCCCCTGTCCTGTGGGGTCAGAATTGGCACTACAGCAGTGGGTTTGGTTTTATAGTTTGGTCCTTTTCCTGTTCCACAAATATACACCGCGTTCAGTCATTCATTAATGCACACATTCTACAAATAGGTCTTAAATTGGGCTTTCTCCACCCTGGTTTCTATAGTAGCTGTTGGCTTGTAAAAGCCACTCCAGTGCCCCTTCATCCTTTCTTATAAAATGGACTCTTTGATTCAATGCAGTGGAAACTTTGGTGAACCCAGCAATGTTTTCATTGACGTAAATTGTGATTTATGATCCTGTTTATTTATTTTTGATTGGTCTCATCTTGGCAGAGAGGCATAATATTTTACATTTCTCTGCCCTCTCATCACCTATCCTACTGAATTATGTGGTTTATGGGCAGAACACTGCAGTGCCCCGGCTTCGTTTGCAATTCTACTTTTCTGCAAACCATTTTGAAGCGTGAAGCATAATTATCCCTTATGGTATTTGTCGCTTAAATGCTGGGTT